AGAATTGTGCTCATAGTTTAAAATTCTTTTTCTGTTTAATTCAATGCTTCCTTGCCTAAGTTCCACCTTTTCTTTATTAAGATTGTGACCTCTGATTTCCATGTTCTTGCATTTGCTCAGTATATCTATGCCTATATTTTAAACTTTAGTCTTTTAAAATGACTTTGTTTTAGTTGTGCTTTTACATAAAAAATAAACTTATGATTTTTACGTTTATTTCAATTGGAAATTTTTTTCTTAATATTAAGATGAGTTAAGCCCAATTACATTTATTGATATAGTAAGAATATTCCTCTTTGTTTTTATTGTGTTATGTTATTAAAGAAACATAACATTTTTGTTTTTATAATTTTTTTTTTTTTTATCCTCACCCGAGGACATTTTTCCATTTTCTGTTCAGGTAGAGCGGGAGGGAGAGAGAGAGAGGAAGAGAGAGAGAGAGAAACATCGACCTGAAAGGGACACATCGAGTGGCTGCCACCCGCACGACCAACCAGGGCCGGGGACAAACTGCAACCGAGGTACGTGCCCTTAGCGGGAACCGAACCCGGGTCTCTCAGTACCGCAGGCCGACGCTCTAACCGCTGCGCCAAACCGGCCAGGGCTGTTTTTATAATTTTTAAAGAAGGCTTTTTACTAAGTTATTTGTTTTTATTTTTATGTACTTGTGATACTTAAGAAAGCTTTTACTTTTGTTCTGGTGGTTACTTTTATTTAATATCCTTAGATATTTATTCTTCTTGATAATTTTTGTTTTCTAACAGAATGAAGATAAAATTGGCATGCATAATCTTTCTCACTTTATTTTTATCTACCACTTGATTATATTCAGTATTTTGATCTTTCTTGTGCTTATTTAACACTAATATTCCATATACTAAGATTTTATTTTTATCCTCACCAGATGATGTGTTTTGTTTTTTTTATTGATTTAGAGGGAGAGGAAGAGAGAGAGAGAGAGAGAGAGAGAGAGAGAGAGAGAGAGATCAATGTGAGAGAGAAACATCAGTCAGTTGCCTCCAGTATGTATCCTGACTGGGGATCAAACCTGCAATCTAGGTATGTGCCCTGACCAAGAATTGAACCCACAACTTTCTGGTGTACAGACAATGCTCCAACCAAATGAGACATCCGGCCAGGACTATGCTAAGATTTTTTATTGCTCAAATTGTTACATTTCAGCAATGTCTTTTGACACCACCCAGAGATGTGGTATTAGAAAAATACCTCTAATTCTCATATTTTTTTCATCTTTCCTTTCCATATCAGCCACAAGTAAAGGTCTAAAATAACTTTCTAATGAAAAACATGAGATTATATGATATGGCAAAATGCACAATATTTTAAAGCTTTCAACTCAAAGTTCCAAACACACCTTAATACAAATAATGTTATCTAAGTAGTCTCAGCCCTTCACTTCTTGTCCTTCCATATCATTAAAATTTAATGTTTTTTTATTTTTTATTTTTTTAGAGAGAGAGAGAACAAGGGAGAGAGATAAAACCATTGATGTGAGAGAGAAACATTGTTCGAATGCCTCCTGCACCCTCCCTACTGGGGATCGAGCCCGAAACCCTGATCAGGAATTATACCAGGACCTCTCAGTCCATGGGAGGACGCTCAATCCACTGAGTCACACTGGCCAAGTCATACCTTTAAAATTTAAATTGAAAACCTGGGTAACAAATTTCAACCTATGGGTAATCTGTTCTGCCAGAGCAAGTAGTTGGAACATTAACCAGATGGGTGCTGCCATGGAGACTGCATGGCTTCCAGTCAGTTCCCTTTTAAGCTAACATTTCACATTAGAGGTAGTGATGTGAAGTAACGATTGAAAGCTCCTGTTTGCAATTATTTGCAATTGCTGATGGCGTCTAAACATGTTCATTAATTCATTCTCTTAATCCTGGCGACGGTCGTCTTTGATCATGTTCTCCTCCATTTCCTATGTTATTGTTTCTATACTTTAACAAAAGTGTATCTTCTGTGTGTCATCAGAGTTGTGTAGTGGTGGTGGCTGAATAATGTTGTTTTGTTATGGGGGTATTATTTGATGTGGGGCTACATTAATCTGGGTGAATAACAGAGGATCATGCCATTAGATAGTTAAAAGACATGTAAAATAAACTCCGGAAATCAGTGTTGGTTGCATTTGATGTCCATACTATTTAGTGTGATAATTTGTAGACTCTTTTCTAAGTGATATTTCAGGAGGATTCTGTGATTGGGAGGCAATGAATTCTTGTGCCAGAGCATTTCCACGGGAAGTGATGAGTGTGGGGGGAGTAGCATGATTTTGGATTTTGGTTTCTTCTCTCGTGTCCTATGAATAAAAACAACAGTTTACCTTGGTAGAAAATATCTATGTGTCTTCCACTGTTGTTCTTTCTATCATCAGTCATTGATTCAGTAATTATTCATGGAACATCTAGAGTAAGCCAAACACTGTACTAAGCCCTGGGGATACACAATGGTGAGCCATACAAATGTGGATTATATCTAGTCCACAAAATAGAAAGCAAGGACAATTGAAATGATATCTGAAAGTGCAAAAACAGGTGTAGAAAGTGGAATGAGAGTCGGGTAGTCCAGGCCGAGAAAATTGGATCTGGGAGGTACCGAGGAACTAAAAAGAGATAAGTATCAAGACCGGGAAGGGCCGGATATTAGACTGGAGAGGGAAACTGGTAGGTACCAGATTCTGCTTGGATGCCATCCCGAGGATTTTCGTCTTGATTCTAAGGGCAGGACCAGCTACCTAATGTGTGAGGCTCAGTGAAATAAAAAGGCAAAAGAAAAATGTCAGGTCCCTTTTACAATAATTATTAAGAATTTCAAGACAGTGACAGCAGAGTGCTAAACCAAGTACAGGACAGTTCTAAGCGCTGTGCCCTGTGTGACTGCACAGGTCACAGGCCCATGACATTGGCACTGTTGAAGGGCACTGAGAAGCCAAGGAAAAGTGTTAATTAGAGCAGATAGATGATTGGGTGGGCATTTGAGAAAAATAAATTCTTTTATTGTTCTACCAAGGCATGTGTAGTGAGTGAATAAGGGCAAAGGAATATTAATATCTTCCGGACCCAGGATTACAAATTATTACTAATATATTTATAAGTCATGTGTCTAGATACAGGGGTACCCAGAATCCATTTTCTCAATTTATTAGTAGGGACAGTAAAATGGTGAAGTCTGGGATTTTTGCTTAAGCTCATTTTATGTAAACCAACATTGTAATACACTTGAATAATTTTATCCTCTAATCACTGAACAACATAAGCTCAAAGTTTCACTAACTGACAGAATAGTGTTTAAAAAAATATTGTGTTTCTTGTTTAGAACCAGCTGATAACCCATGACAAACGTATTAAGAATTCAGAAATATGAAAGAAAATAATTTTAAAAATGTAGGGAACAACTTTCTGCTAATCCTTGTTTGTTGTAATGATTTGCATATTCTGCTTAGATAGTTCTGTTACTTTAGGATAATAGGCTATGTTTCATATGCAGCCTGCATCTAAAATTATTGAGATTCAAATACTGTGTGGATCATAACTGCCAAAGCAAATCATGAGTATTCTGTACTGTATTTAGAAATAAGCAAACCAGAAAACATAATTATAAAAAGCCAGTTTGGTTTTTATGATAATAATCCTAATATTTTTGTGTGCACATATATTTCAGAACATGCTACAGAGAAACAATACTATCAGTAGCATTAAAAATTTGATAATGATGCACAATTTAATTTTTAAAACGGAGAGAAGCAATTTTCCTTAAGCACTTTAATGACAGACTAGAGGTCAACCTAGCACCTTTTTAAAGCCTGATATCTCTATAAATCTACAACCTGATGTTTGTCTTTTTAAAATTTGTTTTCTTGAGTTTATAAATATTGATTGAAACAAAAACAATAGTATTTTTAAAAAGAACACATTTATTAGACATTTGTGAATTATGAAAATAAAAACAAGAAATATATATTGTGAACATTATTATTTTTTGGATATGTGTTATGAAATGTAAGAAATTGCTTTATTTACTTAATATTGTTCATGGTTTGGCTATATAAGAAAAGCATCTTAGTGATGTCAAATGAGTGAAATGTGGGGGGAATGAGAGAGGCACAATTTTCGTATGTTAATTTAGGATTTTTGAGCACAGAGCATTGTATAGTTTGGAAGAAGGGACCTTGATTTAAAGTTATTTTCAGTCTAACTGAAGCAAGGCAGACATAAACATAAATATACAACTTAATACACAATTACACTATACAACCTCTTCTGGTTTTGCTTAAGAGGTCAGTAACTAGGACATCTGCTAGAAGCAGAGGTGATAAGCAGTTGGACCCAATCTTAAAGGTAGAGAATCAGAAAGTGAATTGGATAAAACGAAGATGGAAGGTTGCAAATTATGGGCTTGCAAATCTGTGTCACATAGTATTGGATGGCCACTGGCAATGGAATTATATTACACATGCTTAAACTCAATGGGACATTCACAAAGAGTCTCTGCCAATCTAAATGTAATGATAGAAATGTTAACTGGAATTTACACACACTTGGCAGAGTAGGGTGAATAATTGTGCAGGACTAGTTTGGGATCCTGATAATAAAAGGTGGAGTAATTATTGGGCTTTAAAAGATAAGAATGAAACCACCAGATAAGATGTTGAGTAAACCGCAAGATTTACCTACACAGGAAAACAGGAACTCTGTCTCTGACATGCAATTCCATCTCAATGCACAATTAATTGAAGTGAGCTAATAACATAATATCACGTAGTTATTATAATTGGACAAACACATCTGGGTTTAATATAAATTGAAGCATGTACTATAAAGAGTTAAACACTTTGGAAATGGTTAGAAAGACTCAAAGTTTTGTTCTTAAAAAAGACATTTTAATTTGCAAATTGAAAAAATTATAGTTGTGACTGTTTTACACAATTATATTGAAACTCAATAATTGTGCATAGTAATAATGATAAAATTACTTGCCTAGGAACAAAGGTGATGATTCTTCAAGTGTTTGTTGCACAGGCTCAGAGAGGAAAAAATTAAGAACACAATCACTCTGAAAAAAAAAAAAAGACAAAATATAGTATTTCTTAATATCTTATATTTATTTATTGCTCCTTTATACTGTTATACAAAAACATTGACCCAAAATACACAATTATTTGTTAATAGATACCTGTTATAGATTCCATAAAGAGAATTAGATATTAGTAAATTTATTAAGTCAATGCTACAATTTTACCCTAAATTAAACTAATCTTTTATATGTTCGGATGTCTGATTATTTTACATTAATGTTTACATTCTTGAATTTTATAATTATGCATGAACCTCATACCTTACTTTTCTAGAAAATGTGCACCCTTGGACAGGCCTTTGGAGAAAATATTCAGTCTCAATAGGATACTGATATTCCTTAGTGAGTAAACATTTTTCCTCAAGGTTCAATTCTAGGAATGCTCAAAGAGTCCTGACCACACCAATGGTATTAAGGAATGTGAGGGGATATTTAAAAACAGGAAGATGCATAAAGTCATACCCCTCTTCTGAACACAGACTAGTGGAGGAAACATATTAAATGTTTTAGTAGAAATTCTAGTTATGTGTGCTTTTCCATTAAACTGGAATGATCACAGACAGACTGAGATTTAATCTGGGCTCTAAAGGAATGGGCTAACTGGTGAAGCTGACAACTTTTCCTTAGTTAATTGGTACACGTTTTGTTTTAAGTCATTATATAACCAAAACAGACCTCCCGATGAGAGCTTACGCTATTATCTGAAGGATACCACTCGGTAATTGATTATTTCCACCAGCTGTCATAGGCTGATGTCAGAGCTGCGTGACAGTACCCTGGCCAGCCTTCTCTCTCATTCTGTGCAAAGGCTTCAGACATCTCACAGGAAACACAAACTTCCAAATCTGACTCCTTCTCTACTGATGACTTTGTTTCCACCTTAGAGAAAATAAAAAGCAGATGGTAACTCCTAAATTTCCTGCCACCAAATCTATAGACTCACAAAGCTATTTTTACCTTTTTTTTCCTCTTAAAATGAAAGAAGTGTTTCTCTTTTCACCTGTTTTAAGTTGAATTGTGTTCCCCCCAAATTCATATGTTTAAGTCCTAAATCACAGTACATCAGAATGTGACCACATTTGGAAATAGAGTAATTGTAGATGTGATTAGTTAAGTTAGGATGATTTTATAATGGTGGGCCACTAATCCAATATGATCAATGTCCATCCAAAAAGAGGAAATTTGCACACAGACATTCACAGAAGGAAGATGATATGAAGAGACGTAGGGAGAAGCCCATCATCTACAAACCCAGGAAAGAGGCCTGGAACAGATTCTTCCCTCAAGGCCATCAGAGGGAACTAACATTGGAGACATCTTGATTCCAAACTTCCAGCTTCCAGAAGTGTGAGACAATATATTTCTGTTGTTTAAGGCAGCCAATTTGTGGTACTTTGTTGTGGAAGCCTTAGCAAACTATGATACCATCCAGTGCTGATCTCTTCAGTTATGACTTGGATTCTATTCCTTCCTCCTCAAGAACCTTTAGAATACCCCAATCTATTCTTTAGTTAATGTTTACCTTTTTCTCTTCTTTCTCATCACAGTAAAATAGGGTCAACCCTCTCCACTTTAGCAACTGACAGATGAGTCAAATTAAACAAAATATGCTCACACATAAATTATATCTTGTCAGTAATGGAGTTTTTAAATCCTGTGTTATTTTTCTCCTTGATGCAAACAAACTTATGGGAGGAGTTGTCAGCAATCACATTGGTTCCATTTCTTCAACTATTACTCACTTTATGATTTACCATCTTCAAGTTTCTACCACTAAGTGTCCTTTGAAAATGCTTTACCATCATTTCTAACACATTTTCTCTTTTCCCAAATTCAATGGGGGTTTTCTCTTTTTATTAATTTGTTTTTATTACAGATGTTTCTCCTTTTTCCCCCATTGACACCTTCCTACCATTTCCTCCCACCCCTTCCCCAGCTTTGTTGTCCATGTCCATCAGTTATGAGTACATGCATATAAGTTCTGTGGTTTATCTCTTTCCTACCCCCTACTCCCTCTTCTGAGGATTGTCAGTTTGTACCCTACTTCCACGTCTCTGGGTCTACCCTGTTCCTCAGACTATTATATTCATTATATTCCACAAATAAATGAGATCATGTGATATTTGTCTTTCTCTGCTTGGCTTGTTTGGCTTAGTATAATACTCTCCAGGTCCCTCCATGTTGTCTCAAAGGATAAGGGAGAGATCTTTCTTTCTTACACCTGTATAGTACTCCATTGTGTACATGTACCACAGCTTCTTTATCCATTCGTCTACTGATAGACACTTGGGCTGTTTCCAGATCTTAGCTATCGTAAATAGTGTTGCTATGAACACGGGGGTACATATATTCTTTCTGATTGGTGTTTCAGGCTTCTTAGGGTATATTCCTAGAAGTGGGATCACTGGGCCAAATGGCAATTAAATTTTTAATTTTTTGCGATAACACAATAGTGTTTTCCATAGTGGCTGCACCAGTTTGCATTCCCACCAGCAGTGTACTAGAGTCTCCTTTTCTCCACACCCTTGCCAACACTTGTTGTTTGATGATTTGTTGATGGTGACTATTCCCAGAGGTGTGGGGTGATAACTCATTGTTGTATGAATTTGCATCTCTCTGATGATTAGTGATGTTAAGCATTTCTTCATATGTTTCTTAGCCATTTGTATGTCCTGTTTGGAGAGGTGTCTATTTAGTTCCTCTGTCCATTTTTAAATTGGGTTCTTTGTCTTCCTTTTGTTGAGTTGTATGAACACTCTATATATTTTGGAAATTACCCCCTTATCTGATGTATCATTGGCAATTATGCTCTTCCATACCGTGGGTTCCCTTTCCATTTTGATGGTTGTTTCTTTTGCTGTGCAGAAGCTTTTTAGTTTGATGTAGTCCCATGTGTTCATTTTTTCCTTTGTTTCTGTTGCCCTAGGTGTTGTATCAGTGAAAATTCTGCTGCGTATGATGTCTGAAATTTTGTTGCCTACATTTTCTTCTAGGATTCTTATGGATTCACGAGTCACATTTAAGTGTTTTGAGTTTATTCTTATATGTGGTGTAAAGATTGATGGTCTAGTTTCATTTTTTTTTTGCATGTAGCTGTCCAAATTTCCCAAAACCATTTATTAAAGAGGCTGTCTTTACTCCACTGTATTCTCTTGCCTCCTTTGTTAAATATTAATTGAGCATAATGTCTTTGGTCCATTTCTGGGTTCTCTGTTCTGTTCCACCGGTCTATTGTGCCAGTATCATGCTGTTTTGATTACAGCAGCTTTGTAGTATAACCTGATGTCTGGTATTGATACCACCTACTTTATCCTTCTTTTTCAAAATTGCTGTGGCTTTTCAGGGTATTTTTTGGTTCCATATGAACTTTTGAAGTTTTTGTTCTAGTTCTGTGAAATATGTCATTGGTATTTTGATGGGGATTGCATTGAATCCATAAATTGCTTTGGGTAATATGGACATTTAAATAATGTTAATCTTTCCAAACCATTAACAAGGTATGTGCTTTCACTTTTTTATATCTTCCTCTATTTCTTTTTTCAGTGTCCTGTAGTTTTCTGCAAATAGGTCCTTTGCTTCTTTGGTTAAGTTTATTTCTAGGTATCTTAATTTTTTTTCCACGATGGTAAATGGGATTGTTTTTTTAGTTTCTCTTTCTGTGACTTCATCATTGGTGTATATGAATGCCGTCCATTTCTTGACGTTAATTTTGTATCCTGCTACTTTGCCAAATTCATTTATTAAGTCTAGTAAATTTTTGATGGAGTCTTTGGGGTTTTCTATGTATAGTATCATGTCATCTGCGAATAATGACAGTTTCACTTTCTCCTTTCCAATTTGGATCCCTTTTATGTTTTCTTCATGTCTGATTGCTGTGGCTAAGACTTCCAGTACTATGTTAAATAAGAGTGGTGAAAGTGGGCATCCCTGTCTTTTTCCTGTTCTTAAGGAAAATGCTTTTTGTTTTTGCTCATTGAGTATGATGTTGGCTGTAGGTCTTTCATATATGGCCTATAGTATATTGAGATATGATCCCTCTATTCCCACATTGCTGTGCGTGTTGTTGTTTTTTTTTATTCTCACCCGAGGACATTTTTTTGTTGTTGTTCAGATAGAGTGGCAGGGAGAGAGAGAGAGAGAGAGAGAGAGAGAGAGGAAGAGAGAGAGGAAGAGAGAGAGAGTGAAAGGAACACATGAGTGGTCGCCACCCGCACAACCCAACCAGGACCGAGGACAAACTGCAACCGAGGTATATGCCCTTAGAGGGAACCTAACCTGAGTCTCTCTGGACCGCAGGAAGATGCTCTTACCACTGAGCCAAACTGGCCAGGGCTGCTGAGTGTTTTTATCAGAAATGGGTACTGGATTTTGTCCAATGCTTTTTCAGTGTCTATTGATATGATCATGTGGTTTTTATCTTTTATTTTGTTTATGTGGTGTATCACATTTATTGATTTGCTAATATTGTACCAGCCTTGCATCCCTGGAATGAATCCCACTTGGTAATGGTGAATCATTTTTTTGATGTATTGCTGGATCTGATTTGCTAGCATTTTGTTAAGTATTTTGGCCTCTATTTCATCAGGGATATTGGCTTGTAGTTTTCTCTGTTTGTAGTGTCTTTATCTGGTTTTAGAATTAGAATTATGCTGGCCTCATAAAACGAGTTTGAAAGTCTTCTTTTTTTTTTTTTTTGGAATTTTATGGAATAGTTTGAGGAGATTGGCTGTCAGTTCTTCCTTGAATGTTCTGTAAAACTCCCCCATGAAGACATCTGGGCCCGGACTTTTGTTTGCTGGGAGAGTCTTGATTACATCTTTAATTTCCTTAGTTATTGGTCTGTTCAAGTTTTCTATCTCTTCCCAGTCCAGTTTTGGGAGACTATGTGTTCCTAGAAATTTGTCCATTTCTCTTAGATTGTCTGATTTGTTGTCGTATAATTGTTCATAGTATTTGTTAACGATCCTTTGTATATCTGT